CATGCTTAACTAGTCAAGGAAAAAGGATAATCAAGTGTACAGATTCGATCAGCTGGCAGCCACAGCATCAGTCCTCAGGCTAGCATCCAGAAGCTGACGAAGCTTTGTTCCCGAGCTTTTATTCTCGTAAGTATCGCTCTCATTTTTTCTATCGGAGTTATTAACTCTTGAGAGTAGATTTGCCGTCCCAATTGGTTTCAGCCTCGGATCATCAATTTTGTGTAGGCTTATCTCTGTTTGGCCTAGTTGAGCATCTTTTAGTTTCTCCTGGGAATTTTAAGCCCTTTTTAATATGCAGAAGCTATTAAATATAAAAAGAAAGTAAGAGATAAACAGAGGTGAAATATTCGTACCATTAACGTAGCATTCTCGACCTTCAGCATATCCGAGTTTTCCAGTAATTTATGTATCTCGGATTTGAGAGTCAAATTCTCATGAGTTAGCATTTGAACCTTTGTAGCTAGTTCCCCAGCCTCAGCCTGAGCAAGGAAGAGTAGGCTACAGATTAGAGAAAAATAAGCCTAAAGAAAAATGTAAAAACTTACAAAAGAAAGCAAGATGTTACTTTTAAGCAATAAAATCACTTAGAAAGTAATTCTTACCCTAGTAGCTTGTTGTCAACTTTGACCAATAAATAGTTCATATTTATTCCAAAGATAACTTATAAGTGGATATTTTAAGCTACTACTCATACCTGTTTTCTCAACCTTGATCTTCTAGCAGATTCTCGATTAGACTGTTTCCTTCGCTCTCGCTTCAGATCCCGATCATTCTGCACAGGCAAGTTGAAAAAGCATGTCAAGAAATGAAAATAAATTGTTTTTATAACTATTTATTTGGACACCTAATAGACAGATTAAAATAATGCATACCACAAAGCCAAATCTAATCTAGAAAGGTTTTTGAGAATTGCAAGTAAATCATCCATTTTCTTAAACAATTCCCACTTTGGCTTGGTAGAAATCTTATAGTTGAAGATTGAAAGCATGAACAGGCACATAATGGAAACAAAAGTACGAAATAAGAAGGGATCATATTCAGAACTTACGTGCAGCCCAGCTTCATTTGTCAAGGGTGGTTGAGGCGATTTAGTTGGAACAGACTTCACATTTGTGTAAGAAAGATCTTTGAGTTCTAATGCTGTGGAGACGTTTTCTGGAGCCTTTTCAGGTACGACCATATCCATCAAACTGTTATGTGTTTGAGCCTTGCTGTCTACAGCTTTCAGAAGGGTAAGACGTAAGAATAAAATAGCAGATGAGAATCCAGCATGCTGGAATGCTTAACGAGTATTGAGTAACATCTCCATTTTTTATCTTCTAGAAGATAAAAACCAAAGAGAATGGTTTTGGCCAACAAAGAATTGAGAGCGTCTAGATTGATCTTATCTTCAGTATATCAGCAGCTTTAACATAAAACCGGACTAATGAGAATAAAATATAGATAAATCAAATATAGCCGAGAGAGACACTAATAAAATAAGAACTCATTTAAAGGACCATCAAAATTGTTCAGAAAGTTCACACAAAAAGCACATAAACAATTTCGAATGAGAAGGAAATTATGATCCTAATTTGGCATGAAAGTTTTCTAATTACGATATTCGGACGTAAAAGAAAGCTTACCATTGTTAGGAGTTTCCTCCCGACTTCTTTTCTTGCCTTTGTGACCAACCTAGTTGACAATATGATAATAATCAAACAATTATAAATTTAAAAACTGGTCAAACACAAAGAAACATTGAGAACAAATTTATCAGATCATATATATATTGGGAAATCCTTACCCCTGCAGTGATCCCATTACTTTCATCACTGGAATCTCCAGTTTCCCCACTGTTCATAGGCAAGAAAATCGACAATAAATCAATAACACCAAAATATGCAGGAACCACAAGGAGTTACTCTCTTCTACTGAAAGGACAGACAATTGGTAAATCATTGAAGAAATTGCCAAGTTTACATATCAAACAAACCTCTTTGAAAGTCTAGGGTTGGATCCACCTTCAGCACTGTCAGAGTCGGCATTGCCATTGCCTATTGACATTGCAAGCCCATTAAATTCTTTCAATTTCTTCAACAAACTTCCGTCTGTATTCTCCGATGACTTGGTTTGTGTGTCCATGCTCAAAGGAGTACCAGCCTACACAAAATCACAACTATCGATGAAATCTCATTCAAAATGAGCTGGTCGAAGTTTAATAAAGGACAAACTTACGATAGGAACTCCTGGATGTGCATAAATGCTGCCATGTGCATAGAATGCCGCATATGGAGGCCCATAAGGTGGCATTATAGCCTGGAAAAACAGCATCTATAATTAAACATTTCAGAATTGGCAGTCTATTTATCCCTGATGCTTCTTTAACAGATCGAGGAATACCTGTGGTGGTCCCCACATATAGGGGGGAGGAGCATGACCAGAGGTAACAGCTGAGTTTAGATAAGGAGGTACAGCAAGTCGAGGACCATAGTAAGCCTGGAGATTAAACTAGCCAATAATTAGCATCAACATGCCCTCGAATATTGACAAGAATTCAATTCTCACTTCTCGACTATAGGAAGAAAGCATATAAACAGAGTGAATAACCTGCATCTTGGTCCAATCAGGGAATACATGTATATTATGCTGGTCCTGTCAATGAGACAAGCATTTTACACCAACTCAGATGTGAACTTGTGATTCAGTCAGAGTACAATGACCAACATATATTACTTTTGTAAATGACATGTTCGAATTATTATGCAAATATTTTTTTTGCCTACCATTGCAGGTGAGGATGACTTCTCAGGCATAGAAACCTTCCCGTCTTCACTATTTCCCATGGTGACATACAAAGTAGAGACTGCAGTACTTTATTCAATTTGTAACTCAAAAATGACCTTTCGATCTTCAACTGAAGGAGAGCCAAATGAGATGGAAATAGCTAAGTTCGGCAAAATAGAAAAACTGCACAATCAAAATGTCAATGCAGTTTAGACAAAATATTCAGAAGGTGTCAAGCTACATACAAACTAGCAAAAATGGGGAAAGATGCTGGCTGAAAATGAAATAGCTGCACCCGTCATAAATATAAAGATTCTTCGTCACAGCCAGTTCAAACCAACCGGAAATTGATTCTGCTGAAAATCCAATAAGACCATATAAACAAAATTTCAGCTACAACATTTGATCCACAAAGTTACTGCTAAGTGCTAAATATTAGGCCGAGAAAATTAAAGATTTAGCCGAGATAAATCCCATGTTTAGTTCTTCATTAGTTTTTTTTTTTTTTTTTTTTTTTTTTTATTTTTTTCAACAAAAGATTGTTCTTCTTATGACAGTTTGCAAGTCTAAGGAAAAGACGCCATCTTGATGTTAAAAATTTGACACAAACCAATTTTTAACTGCTATTATCTCTTTCTGGCCAGTCCCAAAAGCCAAGATTCTTAATTGAAACAATCAAATACTGTCCCTCTACAGACATAACAACTAGAAACATTAAGATCATCGATCGATGTTGAGTCTTATTCTCGATAAATTTAATATCAGCTACATAACTAAATGTGATTAACTTCATCAACACTTATTAGGATATGTTTGATTAACTTAATTTTCCATGAAAAATGTCCTTTCTTCCACCAAGTTCCTTCTTTTGGATTGTTTGATTGGCATTTTCTTTTTCATGGAAAAGATATTTCAAAGTTGGTCGGGTGACCATGTGTCTCTTAAAAACCAAGAAAACATTTTCTTTAAGGGTAGGTTTTTATTTTCTAGACAATTAGTACTTCCCACAAACTCAACTTTACAGAAAAGTATAACATATTTTACTTTGAAAATTAAGACAATCAAACACCTGTAATTGACAATTTCCATACAAAAAAATTCTAGGTAATTCAATTACCTAACTTAATTTTCTTTCAATGCAAGTTCCAAGCTTGCAATCAAATGCACCTAGTTCCACCTTTCATCCGCCAAATCAAGTGGGCGCAGGAGCCGTGGGGTCCACTCTTATCTTTTCATCATCCCAACCCATCAACAAAGAATGTAACAGTAATACACAACCACTTTTACTGTAGTAAATCCAAGACATCCTAAAATGAAATGACAGAGTAATCTTCTTTACACCCAAGAATTCCAAAACTAAACAGACATAATAACGAACTAAGAAATCTTAAATCGAACTAAATTCGTATTGAATCATCAAATTCTTCTACTGTAAAATCAAGATTTACAGTAATCAACAAGAAATATAGCTCAAAAATTCACAAATCAAATAAGAAAAATCCCAGAAAAGTTTAAAATACAATTCAGAATTCACCAAAAAGGGAAAAAAAACACATGAAACAGAAACAACTTAAAGCTCATCGTACCTTAAATAATTCGAAGCCCAAAAATCTTATATTACGAAGATAAATTATAAGTCTCAGAATTCAGAAAGTACCATTTACTTCTAAACTCCTTGCATTTCTCTCACTAAGAGAAAAACAGAGGACAACAGAGCTTTTTTTCTCTGTTTTCAGACTGATATGAGAGAGAGAGAGAGAGAGAGTAACAATCCCAGTCATTGAAACACGTGTTCGTATAAATAAGGTTTCACATGTTGGTGGGGCTAAAGATATTGAAATTAATATTTTTTACTTAATTTTAAACATGGTAAAAAACAAATCACGGTTAGATTTGATAGAGTGTATTCTTGCATTTAAAGGGTGTTTGATAGTGATTTTTATGTAAAAATGTATTTTAGAATAGTAAATTGATGTGAAATATGTGGTTGAAAAATAAAAAAAAAATTGATTTACGTGTAATATTATTTTAATAAAGAATGTGTAGTTGAAAAGAAGAAAGAGAAAAATGCATTTTGAAAAAAAATGTCTACCAAACGGGACCTTAATTGGTAAAGATACACGTCAATTTTTGGATCTACTAAAGTAATTCGTGACTAGTCCAACTCAATTCAAGATAAGGAAGAGAGACTTGCTTTTTTTATCATTGCTAGTGCACATATGACATGATTTTATATTGTCCAAATACGTCAATACAAATACAATATTGAATTAACATTTATTGTTTCGACCTTTAAAAAATATATGGGCATCTTTCTATTTGCCCAAGATATATAACGTATCGAAATGTAAAAATTGTAATTAACGAACAAGCAATAAGATGGTAAATTCGGGATATCATATCTCAATTCGACCTGGTCACTCCGTGTCTTCAAGTATAAGAATCGTTCTACACAAACGGGGGGTTGAGGTGGCTAAGCTCAGATGAATTGAGATCAGGGGCCACCAGGGGCGGACCCACATGAGGTCAAATGACTCCACAATTTTTTTCTGAGTCATTATTTGCATCGTTTACCACCAATATACATATTGATTTTATGTATTGTATGCATGACTGTGTGATAAAAAAAAAACACACAAAGGGTCCAATCTTACAAGCGCAAGTGTGAGAGAAAGAGTGCATATAGAGAGAAGTCAGAGTGTGAGTGAATTGGGAAAGTCTACAGTCCATTAAGTGAGATTATTATATTCTTTAATCAATTAAGTGGTCCGTATCAAAATTGTATAAATTCAAATTTTGTGCAACAAATTAATTTGGTCTTATAAACTATGTCATTTTAGTATTTTCCTAATATTGTTTTATATTTTTGCTATCATTAAATTCATGGTCGAACTCTAGTTGAGATTGAATATTTCATTTTATTTATTTGTTTATTGAGCTTTGAGTTTATAGATTAGTTAAGAAAAATATTACTGCATATTGCATACTATAATTTGATGGCCCAAATTTAATATACGTTTCAAGCCCCCAAAAACTCCAACCTTGATTAAATTTCATCCGCACTTAAAAATATTCTTGACTCCGCCCTTGAATATTTGCATATATTGTTGTTGTAATTTGTTATTTTCTTATTGCATTCATTAGATATCACACATTTGAGATTATCATTGATGACAATATTCTTCTGTAACTTGAAAAATCCAACTGACTTGTTGCAATGGCAAAAATATTCATTGTTATTCATGTATTGAAAATTATTGAGTAAATTTATTTTTACCCAAAAATTTCCTGTTCTGATTTATTCATTGAGTTACATTTTTTGTGTTTATTCATCTTTAGTTTTTAGAAAATTCATGTATATGTCATGTCAATGTTTGACATAATAGAAACTTGGGATGTCAGGCAAAGCATGCTCGAGCACTAATGAATGAAGTCTATTGTCCCTGGAGTTCCTGAGATTCACTTGAATGTCCTTAATTTTTGACTCCACAGTAAAAAATTTCTGGATTCGTCCCGGGGGCCACCTCAGCCCTTGTCTCATTTAGAATTTTTTCAAGTATAATATTATATACTAGGGCTAAGAGCGAGGCAATTGGTGAGCTGGCACACGAATGTGCGTAATAGATATATTTATTTATTTATACCTGTGTCAACTTTACCGTACACGTGTCTGTTGGTTCCTCGATCAACAAGCGTTCGTCTTGTGGCTGACGTGTCTTTGTTTTGAAAATAAATTAATCTTTGAGGAATTAAATGTAATTGATTAGTCTTTCAAATCCAGAATGGGCCCACTATTCTGCTCTTTTAAGGTCTGTTTGTTTACTCAGCTTGCAAACTAATTTTAAATGGATTATTCTTTTTTACTTTAATTTAAGTAACAATAGCCATTTCAATCCACCTCTACTCAAGTTTTGAATACTAGAGCTTAGACTGTCCATTTATGGTTCTCAATTATAGGTTCAATCCTCGATTTTATTGCCAAAATCGAGAGAGGAATCAAGATAACTCAATGAACAATTTTTATTTTATTTTTAATATTAAGGCTGGTGCAACGTACAAACCACGTGAAATCATTAATCAATTTTTGTTACAACACGATTAATTATTTTTGGAGTATTTTAGTTTTCATCAATAATTTAGAAATTTTGATTATGGAATCAAACCAAATCGGAGTTATTATGTGGTTCCATATTTACAAATGAAATCAATAATTCATTTATAAGATATTTATTACTTCTTGATTCTATTATGAAATTCTTAAATATTACTTGTTTTGATAATAATGTACAATCAAATGAATAATTACCTTGATTCCATCGTTCACTAACGAAAATATTATTTATTTTAAACTTTCTTAGTTGAATGTGTTTGAGTAAACTCAAAAGAATAATTCTCCAAGTGCAGAATTATTTATACAAGATAAAAACAGGGTACTTACATGGGGTGGGGGTCATGTGAGTTTTATATTGGAAAAAATCACACCACACACCCCCATGTATGTGTGTATGTTTTGAATTTCTGTACCCATTTTGTACTATCTTTTCTGCACCCATAGCAAAGTCAAACTCAAAATCACGTTAGAGCAAATTGATTACAACTAAAAAATCTATTGATGTGTGCATGGCACTAGACACACCTAATTTTATAACCTAAACTGGTGCATTAATTATATTTTGGCAGGTAAGATTTTTTCACATCGGAGAGCATTGAGCATCAATTCCAGTGTCAATGCTTTATAGAATCGAGGTTGATTGCTTATTAGAGCATATTATTTTCAAAATTCATTTTTTGAAATTATTTGAGTCCCATTCTTATCAAAATTCATTTTTCTCAAAACTAATTTTCAATCACATATTTTTTAATAACATAATATTACACGCAAATTCAAAATTTTTCGTTAATTTTTTTTAACACGTTCTCTATCAATCACCATCAAAATGAGGCTCGAACAAGGGCTCAATGCATTTTATAGATTGAAATTTGAATTAGTTTAATTGTACATTTCTTGTATACATAAACATTTACAACCCCTCACATGGGGGGACCTGTATACAATAAAATATATGCGGACCCCCTCCACGTGAGGAAGGTGCAACACATTATGTACTCAAGAAGTGTACATGTAATATCAATTTTGTAATTTAGGTGACATCTAAATAAAACTGCTTTTGATCTAGTGATATTAATGTCTAATAAATAGACCATTGAGTTCAAATTTCATTCTCAATAATTGATTGATGTCAGGTCTGTATAGCTTACGCGAAAGAATCAAGTCATGAATCTGCTTGTTAGAGAGATACAAATTCCTGCCCACCTAGGGATTGATGGATTGACATCTAGAATGAGACGTTTTGATTGACGAAGGAGGCCAAGTGCCCCTCCATCTAAAGGTCTAACATTCATTTCTTTCCTTATATATACTCATACTTAGTGCCCCAAAAAAGGTAATGCAACTCCAACCAACTCATACACATATAGTTTCACTCATTTATCATAGATATTTTTTTCGACGATTCCCGCTACTAGAATGTCCTAATTTTACATATTTTTGAGTGACTTTACCGTTGGAGTGCTTGTGGCCGCTTTCTCTACCACCAAAATGGGCCACGAGTGACTAATAGCGTGTTTAAAGTATGCAAGGAGGAACTTACGTGGAGTTGCTAGATGTTGACTACGTGAAAAATGCATTTTCCGAGGTAAATACAAAGTTTATGTATTGTTTTGATACATGGTAAAGTTCATGCACTATTTCGTAATTAATTTGTCAAGTGTAGAGACACTCTGTTTCCCACGTAGATTAATCCTTTGTTTTTTACTTACAAGAATTAATTCATGTATGAATGTGATACAAATTTGGGTATATCTATTATTTTTAAACAGAGCTATTGTTTAGTTTTGGTACATGGGCAAAGTTCATATACCTTTAATACATGTGAACCTTTTTTTGCCTATTTTTTATTACTTGAAAATAAGAAGGCAAGTCTTTCTTTCTTTCTTTCTTTTTTTTTTTAAATAAAATAAAATGTATGATGAAAAGCCATTTTGAAAAAGTGTGAACAAGTTCTTACATGATTAAAAAATAGGGCAAATAATGAGTATCTCAAGTACTGTGCAATTTTACACAAATGTTAATTTTTCAAAATGGAACTCTTGAGTTTCAAAACCTAACAAAATTTAAGCTCCAAAATTTGTTGTATAAGAGGATTTCAAAGTTGCAATCGAACAAAGATGAAGGGGCAAATTGTACAAGTGGAAAAAAAAATCCATGATAGATTCTCAAGTAATTATGTTATGCAAAACGTTGGTCCAATATACAATAGAAGAGTTGGGCTATATCGAAATATAAGAAACAAATTGTTATTTGAAGTGACATCAAATGGATACCAAACTTTGTTTCTATTAGGAATTGTTGAGAATGCGCGAATGAAATTTCATAATATGTGTATAAGAAAACGAACAATACGTAAAACTCGAAATTTTAATTAAATAGTTTAAGAAGTTTATCAACAATATAATGTCATTTTCAAATCACAAAAAAGAAACCACACACTAGCAGTCTTTGATGCACCCTTTCTTACGCGGAAAAGCACTCTCTCCTGCCTTCACCACATCACTTTTCCACCCTTTCTTGTCGATTCCTTATTCCCAAACACTTCATTCCTACTCACTCAATACCCAATTGGACACGTGTCCACTCAGGGAAACAGGGTCCCACTTCTGACTCCATTGATTATAAAACTTGCAACCGAAGACGGAAAAGAATCCAA